GTCTGAAAACAAGATGAAAAAGACTTTTTGGCTGATATAAGGTTTTAAACTTGGTCAGATGGACAAACTGATGAGAAAACCAACAGTAGTTTTATTTCTGAGGTGAGTTTAAATACGATGATTCTGTCGACTGAAGGAGTGTGGGGCGCTACATGAGTGGTCACAATGTAAATTTGTGACCACTCTGTACGTTCTGTTCAGACATGAGGCCTCTGCTCTGTTCCCTCCTGCACGCACAGAATAAAAAGTTGTTTTTAAAACTGTCTGCATCAAACAGATCTCATTTCACCTGAACGCTGCCTCCTCAGAAGTGGAACACCTTCTCATGACAAAGGTGGTCCGAAGGACGTGTTCAGGAGAGGATTTAGGATCAGTTACAGCGACCAGCTTCTACACAGATAAACAATGTAAAACAGACTAAAGTAAAGGTCCTGTCCTACAATATGCAACAAAAATAACATCCTAAACACTTAGTTTCCCCCACAAAACTAACCAAATGACACAAGAGTTAAAGAAAATGTAAATCACTTTGAAGTGGAGTTCTTACTTTGTGAATGAGCTCAGTTTGAAGGAAGAGTTTAATTCTGACAAACTTCATCTGATGAAAACCTCACCTCAGCTCTGCTATCAATAATATCAATGTTAGTATCAATCCGCCTCTGGTTGGCTGTAAGCTCATGAGTTGATCCCAGCAGAAACTTTATAAAATCATGTAGTGTAAAACTAAGAGTGTAAAAGATGACATCATCGTTGATTTATCAGATCAGTGTTTCAGGAAGTGGGCCTGTTGTTCATAAAAACTAATCTTTATCATTTTACAACCTGCTTTAAACCTTATGTCATAAACTATTTAACAGCACATGGTTGTTTTGGTAAAAACTTCATTCAGTTTGTGCCAGAAGTGACCTCAGGCTGCACAGGAAGTGCTACAGCTAGTCCTGGTCCTGGGGGGCCACAGTCCTGCAGGTCGTACCTGTTCCTCTGCTCCAACACACCTGATCTGATGATTATCAGGTTTCTGCTGTACGGAGGACCAACACTGACAGAACTAAAAATAAAAACTGAATTATATGAACCACTAAATAAATACACTTAAAATTAAGTTTAAAAAGAGAACTTTATGTCCTGTTTTATATTTTAATTGACTTTCATTTTTATTTTTCCAGGTTTGTTCTAAAAATTTAATCTATAAATTTGAACACAATTTAAATTTTACTGTTTTTTAAAATATATATTAATTGTTTTTCCTTTTACTTGTACATGCATTTGTGTGTCTTAAATGTTTATACTTAATTATTTCATATGTTTTCCCAACAAGAATTTTTATTACTATGTGCTGCCTGCTTGTGTTGCCTCAGTTTGACTAAAACCTTAAAGTTTAGTTTCAAACAAAGGTAAGGAGGAAAACATCACCTGTGCTTTTATTTTAACTAAACTTTAAGTTAAACTGCAGCAACACAAAAATAAAAGAGTTGTTGGACAAAATTATAAACATAATTCAATTTAAGCATTCAAGAGACACAAATGCATGTACAAGTTAAAGGAAAATCTATGTAAAATATTTATATAAAACCATTAAAATTTAAATTATGTGTTAAAATACACTCACCGGCCACTTTATTAGGTACACCTGTCCAACTGCTCGTTAACACTTAATTTCTAATCAGCCAATCACATGG